TTGGTGGATTCATGTAACTTACATAATTTTATTGGTGAACCCGTTTCCATTGAAGACTCCAGCATGTTGTATAAAAAATTATTAATATTGAAGTAGTTATCTTTTATTACGCACTCAAAAGGTTTTGTTTTTTTTTTTATGTACTTATCTATCATACGAAATTATTTATATTTTTCTCATTCATTACGTATTTAGTGCTTTTAATTGAACCACTATAACTGCTTCAACAGAACATTTAGATATCATTAATTAGTGTTACAAATATTATTCCAAATTAAAGACACCACACGAATGTAACTTCGTTTTGCGTCACATAATATGGATGTAAATAGAATGAGCAAACAGTTAGTATTTTAGGACAACAGGAGTATATCTCTAAAATTATTAATTAAAAAGTATAAAGTAATAACAAATACTAAATAAAGCAAAAATAGCTTAAAATTTTTATGAAGCAAAAATATACATACTGAGAGCTCAAATGTACTTGGACCTTAAATTAAAAAAAAAAGGTGAAAAAAAGGAGAAAGTTATTAAATATGACACAACATATAGATTTGGTAAAACAAATTGAAAAACTTAAAAAAAAAAAAAATGATTTTCTTACACGTTTGTCTACTTTGTAAGAATTGAATTTTGCTAAAAGTTGTTGGAATAAGAGATTGGCCGTGGTCCTGTCTGGTTTTGTTAAAGAAAAAGGAGGAGAAATGATAAGTTCTTGGAAAAATTAGAAGCCAGATATGTTGTGAAAATAAGATAACTTATTTATGTTAACAATAGTTATTTGTGTTAACACAATTACTTACAACAAATAGTAATGAACTATTGTTTAACCAAACAGACTCATCCACCATCACCTACATCTCGAAAGAAACACCCCTTTCAGAATATTCATCTAATTTGAAATGGACCAAAACGGATAATCCTCCCTGGACTTCCCCCATCCCAACAACCGGGTGACATTCTTGTTAAGTGAATATATCAGGTAACTTAATCTCTTTGAATGTCTCATCAGTGGAATCAAACAAAAAGATCAAATAACCAGCAATGTTGGCTTTCTTGGCAACCCAATGACAAGCTCCATTATCAAATATCTTGGTTGTATAAACAGTATGAAGCCATAGGATTGGAAAGATTAGTAAGAATCTTCCATGATTCTTTTCTTACAGAGTAAACCTTGACTTGTACCCATCTCCGAGTAACTTCACAAAGAATCCTCACAATTTTGAAATCGTTGCTGTAGGAATTAAAACCAAAGCCGAGTTCAACAAAGCAGTGAAATCCCAAACAGGAGGTAGGGTTGGAACAACAATTGGCATAATCAAAAGGGGCTAAAAAGGTGAGTCGTCTAATTGAAGGGTTTATAACACATATTTGGCGATGAGAGCTTCGATACCTCGACAAACACAGCACCCCATACAAGAGCCAACTACTCTCCGGGGCCGATAAGACAGAGATGGGTTTTCCCTTTTTTTTTTTTTTTATTTATGTTGATTAATGAATTATATAATAAAAATAATTCTCGTTATCTATTTTAAAATTTAAACTTTAAATTTTTAAAATTGAGTTTCAAATTATTAATTACGAGAGTGGATGTTGGGAATGCGTTTCTGTCACCAATATCTACGGTTCAATAACCAATTCTGTCTGCTTAGCTATAGCCCTTGTACTCAGCCTTGAAGATATCAACATTGTCCATAAAACTGCATGCCAGTGATCAGTTATATTGTTTAATGTATAGTAACTGCATTAGAAAGTAGGATACTCCATTAATTTTGTTTTTGCTGGCAGAAATTAGAAATTAACATGATGATAACACATTTTATGTTTGTTCTGAGGATATTCCTTTTGCATAACGTCTTAGACCTTCATTGCCTACTTAAGATCAAAATCCTGCAATAAAGCTTGTTCAATAAGGGAGATGTTATACTTATTTAAACTCCTTTGATTTGTTTCTAATAACAGGATGAAGATACTGAAAAGGTCTAGAAGGTCAAAACAATTAAAAGGGAAAAAGTTGTGCGCAAAATGTGGACTCCAGTTAAAAGAAAAAAACCAGCAAAAGTGGAGAAGGTGTTGGTGGACTCATCTAACCTGTCTCATTTTGTTGGGAAACCAGTTTTGTAATTGCTTGATAAAAAGAAAAATGTTTTGATTTTACAATAGAAAAGTGACTACAAACCAGGACCGTTCAAACATGTCTTAAATACCCAATTCTTTTATGTGAACAGTTAACTCTAGGCAATCAAAGGAAACTTCAGGATACAGGAAAGTTAGATATGTGGTTTGGTATATGTGCAGCTGTTTGGTCCATTTGGTTTTGAAGAAATCAAAGATTTATTTACTAGGTGTTTGAAAATGAGCATCAAAGAAAAATTGCCCGTTTGGAATCAAGACTATCCTTATAAAGCATTGGAAATCCTAAGAATGTGATTAAGAGTATGGATGGAGTATCCAGGTCAAGTTTTGTACCATGGAAATGAACCAATTGCTTGCTGGGCCATTTAACATTTGATTTCTATGTTTGTTCGTAAGAATGCTTTCCATGCTGAGATTACTAATCTAGGGAGATGAATAAATCTAGTTTGTTCTTAAGAATGGAGCAACTAGTGTTAGATGTTGTGAATACCAAAATAATAAGATTATGAACGTATAAGATTATGAATGATGAGATTATTAATGTAAGAGATGAATAATAAGATTATTCATGTTAGAGATTTATATTTTACAGTTCATCTTGCATGTCTTGCAAACACCTTAAACCTCAATCTCATTATTAACAAGATCAATTACTAACACCCCACAAAAATTTCACAACTCTTGAGATTGAAGTGTTTGCAATTCTCATAAGACAAACTACAAAACCCTTTTATAATATATATTAACATATTTAACATGAACCAAACATAACTTATTTACTAGCATCCTAACTAACTATTAAATACAAATCAAAGACTTTAGAGGAGTCCATGAACTAATGATTTTCTTCCCCAAGTAAATCTAGGCTTGGTATGTAAGTAAAAGCATGCAAAGGTATCAAGTTTTGGAGTTCTTTAATGTCACTAATTGTGAGGGCCTTGAGGTCATTTGCAACAAGATTGCGACACATCCCCTTCCCCATTGTGATTAGTAACACAACTTGGTCATTCATCCCCCTCCATAAAAGCCCATGGCAAGGGCCAACTTGGAGACCAACTTCGGTGGTAAGTTGCTTATTCCAAGCAGAATTCTCCAGCATCATCCATATCTCAAACCGAGCGATACCTTTGTTGAAATATTCCTGGGAATTGCAATCCATCAAGAAGGATATTTTCCCCTTCGACTCCCCCATGCCACGGAGAACTTTATAAAAACCTCCTTCTTCTTCCCCAAAACAATCTGGTAATGCAATCTCTTTAAAGCTCTCCTTGATGAAATCAAACAGCAAGATCAAATTCTGGACATTGTTATCTTTTGTTTTATTTACAAAACAATAAAATGCTCTGTTGTAAACTAACGAATGCTTGCCGAAAAGTTAGCATGAACCTATAGGGTAAGTAGGATTATTAACAACTTTCAATGAATTTTAAATCTGTGAGTAAACTTGAACTTGTGTCAATCTTTTAGAAATAGATTCACTGAGAATTCTCACAACTTTGAAATCATTGATGGAGGAATCATAACCAAAACCAACATCAACATCACATTGGGAACCCAGGTAGAAATTTTGGAGAGGAGGATCGGGGAGAAGCTTGAGTCTTTTAAAGGAAGGGTTTAGAACAAATAAGCCGTGACAATCATACAAAAATAGTAGCAGGCCATTGCAGCTGCCAACAATTTTAAACAAACACCAACCATGCAGGGACGAGTTCAATATCTCTACTTGCATTTAATTTGAAGGAAAAACTTCTTATTTGTTTGATTAAAATGGTGAAGATGGTTGAGGAAGAATTGAGAACTAACAATAACCTGAGACCACAACTTGGACAGGCACATGAATCGGACAAACGATTCAACAGGCAATCTGGTGAATATGTCAACAATCAATTTATTCTGTAGCATTCTGTTTTCATGGGCTATGTAGGGAGGAAGAAGACAGAAATGATAATGAAATGCCCAGGAATGATAATGAAAAGATTTAAATATCTTAACAAATCATTAAAAAAAAAAGATTCATTAAGAATATTTAAACAATTTCAGAGACAATCCTAATATTTTAAATAACACGGGGTTCTGATTTTTTACTTTTCTCTATATTTTTTGAAACTAAATCCAGCATAGCATGCTTTATTTTATAAATGTACTGGTGGCATGCTTTTCCTTTAAATGTTATTTGTTTCATTAAGGTCCTAAATAATCAGACTCAGATTTGGATACTGTTTTTCTAATAAAACACATTCCATTCCAACCAAGAAAAAACTCACACTCTATGACTGAGATGCCAAAAGCACAATGGTGAAAAAAGAGTCATCAAAATATATAAACTGAATTAAACAGGACAAATAGCGTCTCATGAAAACCAAAAGCAAATTGAGAAATACTACAACAACAACGTTAAACATCATACCATTCAGAGGTCCTCAAACCACTAATTTTCTTCCCCAAGTAAGGCCAGGCTCGGTGTATAGGTAAAAGCATGGGGTCTATGCTCCTCAACTTCATGGTCAGTCAACTCCAACGTCTTGAGGTCACAAGAAAGAATATGGCCAACATTAGAATGTGTTGACAATAGCATGACTTCATCATTAATCGCCAAGCATGTAGGTACATCAGGCTGACTCACATTGACAACAAATTGTCTAACCCAACCAGAATCCTCCATCATCCACAGCTCTAATGAAACATCCGTAGAAGAATTTATATCAAAATGCAGCAAGGATAGTTTTCCCTTGACTTCCCCCAAGCCATCAAATTCGCATAGTTCTTCATCGAAACAATCTGGCATCTTAATCTCTTTAAATGTTTCATCAGTGAAATCAAACATCAAGATCCACAAACAATCACTGATGATTACAAACCAATAAATAGCTCCTCCATTAACAACTACTTGAGGGTCATCCATATGGTATAAAAAATTGGGAACATTACTAAGAACCTTCCATGAATTTTGTCTTAGTGAGTAAACCTGAACTTGTCTCCATCTTTTTGAATAAATTTCTTGAAAAATTATCACAATCTTAAAATCACTTGTGCGGGAATCAAAACCAAACCCATTTTCAGTTCTCAAGGGTCTTCCATCTACCGACCTATAAATACCGTGGGACAGATGGAAGGAATCCTCCAAATTAGGAAAAAGAACAAGCTTTAACTTTTTAATTGAAGGGTTTAGAATACCTAAATAGTGAATGGATTGAGAAGAAGTTATCAAACACAGAACCCCATTGCAGGAACCGACTATTTCACGCCACAAACTAGACAGCAACGGAATCTGTGGCTCCAATGTCACCACTTCTCGAAGCAATTGGTGATGGCAGAAAGACAAAGATTGCAGGGTTAGAGGGCTGTCACTAATCTGAAGGAGAAATTGTTTGTTGCTTTGGTTGGAATGATGGAGGTGAAGGTGGAAGAATTGAGGATCAGAGATGGCCCGATAACACGACTTGGACAAGCACATGAATCTGATAAGGGATTTCACCGGCAATTTA